AAAAGTTCATCATCTCACAGGGACTCTTGATGTCAAACATTCAGAGCCCAAACACAGATAAGCATATTGCCACAGTCATCACTTTCTGCAATTAATAATTATTGAAGATGTGTAGGAATACGAGAAAGCGTGAAAGAAAACACCACAAAGACAGCCCGTACACAACTCGGAACGGACAGGCAAGCATTAAAAGGGAAGGCTCGTTGCCTTTCCTGATCCTGGCCTCTGAGAGTATGCTGTGCCTCAGTTATAACTGTTTAAATATCACTCCTGGGCATACCTTGCCTTCTGGGCTCTACTGTAAGCATCTATGGACCGGGCTTAGGCCTTCAGAGACAATGCATGCAGCAGTAAAGATGTTAGCACTAGAGCTGGTCAACCTTGACCAAGTCGCTTATTGCCTCCGTTCCTCAGTTTCCCCACCCATGGAACGGAGATAATAATAGTGCCTACCTCAGAAGACCACAGTGAGGATTAAATGAGTTAATACATAGTAAGTAAGAACTACTGATCATCTCTAAATTTCTTTTAGGCCCAACGGGCATAAAGCCTCTCACACATAGATGCTTATTAAATATCTGCAGAGACCTGCCCCTGGAATTGTGTTTTCTATTCCTCTCACCCCCATCCTAACTTTCCTACCTTTTGTGAGAGGTAGATAAGTCATTGCCTCATTCTGAGCTATTTAGGGGAATACAAACAGCTCATCTAAACAAATATAGAAAAACAAACAAACACACACACACACACACACACAACAAACACTTAAATAACCTTCAAATTTTCTTTAACTATATTAAAACAGACTGCCCACTAACAGCAGTGTAACCAGATAATTTCCAGCTTTCCCCGTCATTTTGAGCCAAGTAGTTTTCACCCACTCCAAAGTCAAGGCTCACTAATCCTGCTTTTTTTTTTCTTTTTTCTTTTCTATAAGTATAAATGGGAAGCCAAACTGTTCAGAAAGCTGTGCCGTGTGGTGTGTGTGTGTGTGGTGTGTGTGTGTGTGTGTGTGTGTGTGTGAGAGAGAGAGACATTTAAAAAGAGCCCATATAAAGACTAAAGCCTCTGGAAAAGCCTCTAAAGTTATAAAACACATCCATATTAATGTGATTTATCTAAGTACAGTAAATGAATTGCCACAAAAATGAACAATTGCTCCAGAGTCAAGTAGGTGGCACAATGGGATTTACGCATATCACGTGAAATGAATGAATCAACGGTGGGAAAGATCAAAGGAAATGCTGGAATTGTTGTTACTATGTACGGGTCTTCACTGAAAATAGTCTTAATATAACTGTTTAGAGGAAAACAGAAGGATGGTTTGTTTAAATGACAAGAGATAATGCATGCACAGAATTTCAAAAGCAACATTCATTTTCATACATACATATAATAGATTTGGCTAAAATTAGCTCATGTTTCTCTTTTCTTTTTTAAAGGTCTTAAAGGAATAAAGATTTCAATAAGATTTCATTGAGCTGAGATTCCAAAGTGCTTGCGATTCCATGGCAGACCCTCTATTACCCATCTGTGCATCATCCCCACTTCTCCACCCGCCCGCCCTCCACCCCAGGTCTTAAAGAGGAAGCACACAAAGGCTGTGCCGCTCCTACATTCCAGCTTCTCTTCCCTGCCTCTCACCTTCTCTCTATGCATTCTGCACCAGCTGATGTCACCCCTGATGTACAGTCGTCCCCTTCTGCCTGTCAAACCTGCTGCCAAACACAAGACTCGAAGCCCAATTTCCAAGATCACTTTTATGCCAAGGACTCCTCCAAATTTATCTCCAGATCTGACCTGTCAGCGATTTTATTCCCACACCCTGTACTGTCTGCTGGGCTCCAGCAACTCAGATGTCCACCAGCACCTGTGCTTCCGCCAAAGGGGCCTTGTCAGTCACATACCATGCGCTCCTTGTCACATCCCAGCCACTTCAATGGTCTTCCTCCAGCTCTATCCGTCTCTACCCACAGAAATGCTCACCAGCCTTCAGAGTTGAACTCAGACGATCCCTCCTCCTCAGCCTTTCCTCATCATCCTACTCAGCATCATTCTTCTGAATTCCTTCTGAGTTAGAACGTACCCCAGGAAGTACAACCACCCCATTCTGGTTTGTCTTAGTTTTTTCCAAGCATTTCTTCTTTCACCTACCTGACCACAAAGAACACATAGAGTATAACCTCTTTTTGGGTGGCTGTTACTCACTTTCATGCCCACAGCACCGTGTAGTAGTTTAAAAAAAATACACAGTGAATATATGAATGAATCATTTCTTAATAGAGAAAGTGCCTGTGAACAAGTTATGCCACAACTTTCCTATAACCCTATCTTATTTGCAAAATAACTAGAACCAGGGATACTGTAATCTAGGTTTTAGAAAAACCTTAGTGAATATAACAGAGTACAACATGAATGACATGATTTCCCTGCCCACATTTAGCCATCAATTGTGAAGACTCTAACAAGGACATTATTTATGCGAAATGTTTAAATAATGCTTTATTAGTTTACTTTAAATGCAGTCGCAGAAAATGTCAGCTCTTGGAATTCAAGGTGACTCTGCACTACTTTGTCAATAATACAATACAAATATTTGTGAGACACTTACTAGTAGACTTGCTTAATATTAATATAATGTAAAAGCATCAGTATCATCTCAATAAGTTTGCACATATTGACCAAGAGATATGACTTTCTGATGCCTGAATTTTCACAATAAAAGTCTCTTAAATACCACAAGTTTTTTTAATTGCACATATATTAACCACATATTCAATTAAACTACTTCCTTAAAAAGCTTAAATGTGAGGATTTTCTGCCTAGCATATAATTGTAAAAATGGATAACATCCCTAAGAAATAAAGTAACAGTGAGGCATCTCACCATTTTTTATTCAGGTGACAGAGACCTTAAGAAGGATCTTAAGGAGTTTATCTTTGGCCCTAGCTGGTTTGGCTCAGTGGATAGAGTGTTAACCCGAAGACTGAAGGGTCCAGAGTTCAATTCTGGTCAAGGGCACAAACCTCAGTTACAGGCTCATCCCCCACCCTGGTCTGACTAAATGCAGAGGCAACCAAAGGATGTTTCTCTGTTTCCCCCCTCCCTTCTATTCTCTCTAAAAATCAATGGGAAATATCCTTGGGTGAGGATTAACAACAGCAACAACAACAAAAGCAGCTTACCTTTGCATGTAACTGCAGGGTTATCCTAATTCCTTTCACAGACCATTTCCCTAATCCACAGCCAATAAAATGCCAAGTACCCAGTTTCAAACTCTATAAGGATATAATGTGATAACTTCCTCTCTCCTCTGCTCCCCTCCCCCCAACAGACTTCTCTGACTATCCTTTCTGGGACACAGCCCTTCAATCGCTCTGGTTTTTTGTTTGTTTTTACACAAATCACAAATAACTTATTATGTGCATGCAACTCATCAGTTCATCTTACAACAATGTGAAAACAATACATGTGAATCCTGTCCCAGTAATAGAGTTGGATGAACACAAAATTCAGAAAAACAGTAAGTCTCATTTGTTTTGCAGAGCTGCAAATGTCTACAGGGTTGGTCCAAAGACCAAGGTATAGGCATGTTTACTGGTTCCTAGTCATACGTGGTTGGGAGCACCATCACGATACAAGAATATCAAAATCACCCTGTCCAGACAGAAGTTACTCGATGTTCACAGATCATAAACCATATGCCAGGCATTATCCTACCCCATACATGTCTATTATTTCATTCCATCCTCACAGCAGCCGGAGGATAAAGATCTAACATTATCTCCATTTTCAAGACAAAGACACTGAGGCATCAAAGTGTTATAGGATGGTCCAAGGTCACAGTGGCTGCTCTTGATGTAAAGCCAGACAGGCTGGTCCCAGAACCCCATGCTCTTATCTCAGATACCACAGAATGTATAAGTAACTTAAAAACTGGATCTTAAAGAGAGGGAAGCTCTTTATTTAAAGAAAACTGGAAAATCACTTTCAAGATGAACATTTTGGTAAAGCAAATGTCCATCTTGTAACAAACTAGTTGAAAATCCTTATTTTTATTTGTGAAGCTTGATAAAAGGTAGACTTTGCAATTCACCATGTAAGGAAGTAGAATGGTACTCAGGAAGAGCTGCCTGGAGACCACCCATCCCAGCAGTTCCCAAGCCTGTGGAGCTTCTGTCTGATTCCAAGAGACCATGAAGGTTCATTTCTATTCAATAGGCCTAGGGTTGAGTTCCAAATTCTATTTTTTTTAAGCTCCCAGGTGATTCTGTTGCGCAGCCAGGCTTAGGAACCTCTGGATTAGTCTATTTCCTCAGCTTCCAGCAGGACCGCTCCCAAGGCAAACAGAAACAGGGAATCTATTTCATAATTGCCTTGGGTTGCGTACACCAGTGTTCCCAAACCCTTGTTGCCCCAACTTGTGCCTAACTTCCATCTCTCCCGACTCCCCTTAGGCAGTATTCTCTTCCCTCTTCAACAGAGAAGCATGAGTCACCAACCCTGCATACACTGGTGTCTGCATGACTTTCCACGCCAGAAAAATGTACTGTACGTGAGGAAATCAGGAAGTTGTAAAATCCAGACAGACACAGAGAAATTCAAGATTCAACAAATACTGGTTGCCACTGAACAAAGAGGCCTCTTGCACATGTTGCACTCTACAACAACAACAACAAAAAAAACCTAAAACATGAAAACTGTGCATTCTCATTTCATTAAGTAAAGGTGACAATTAAAATGATCAGGCTCGAGCCCAACACACAATGGTCAATCATCACAAAATCAAATGTTAACTTCTTCATTAGCCAAATAAATGAAACCAAAAACCCAATTTTTATAAAAACTTTCTTAGCAATCTCTCTATTTCTAACACAATATGTTTGCAAAGATAATTATGTTAAACAGTCCACAAAGTGCTAAAGCAGAGCTAGCAGGCGATTTTTCCAGGCCAGACTCTACCTTCAGACGGGAACTCGCCAGCATCACAAAACTCTCACCTGATGTGTAGCGCACTTCTCTGTAGCGGCTGAGGAGGAGTGTGCTGTACAAGGATGACAAAGGAGTCTGCAGCCTGAATAGACCACCTTGGTGACTTGCTGCACGATGCTCCTGCAATGGTCCAGAAGAGGAAGGGCAGAAGAGGAAATCAAAATGAAAAGCAGAACATATTGTTTTAAAAAGTAATTCCACTTAAGTGTCTATCTACTGAAATCTTCACTCCTAAGAACACCAAATTTTGCATTTTGTTTCAAGAGAATCACCCAGATACCAGCCAGCTCAAAAAGCAGGTCTGGTTTTACTCAACGGGGGCCTCAGAGGGAGGCCAACATACAAAAAGGTCACCCCCTCAAATCAAATTTAGAGAGTGGTCTCCTCATTTGAGCCAAGCACTGTCATTCTTTTCTCTAATGATTCTAACCAATCATCTTATCAACACATGCTGATAAGCACAATATCAGGTGAAAATGAATATGGGTCAAATAATAATTGAGCCAAAGCCTAATTTTAATGTGGCATATATTACTATCATCATGCAACTTAAGGAACAATCATAAAAAAGCACAGTTATTAGCATACCAGTCTAATGGGATAAAAAAAAAAATGTAGCACAGGCAGAAAAAAAATTTAAAAGAATACACAGTCACTAGACTTTCCACTAAATTTTAAAGCATCTCATTATTAAATATATGTCTATTTCATTTTCATTTTGCCACAATGCCTTGCACATGGTTAAGTAAACATTTTCTTCTGTGTGATGAATGAGTGAATGTGTGAATGGATGGATGAAAAGGGGGATGAATGAATCTTCCATATACCTTTCCATCAGGGAGCTTGGTGCTTGTAGTTTTTGTGAGGTAAACACCTATGCATAGAAATGGAAGAAGTTGAGGACTTGATCTGCTAACACAGTTTTCAGCCCCATCTATTAAAATAATATGTTTAAATACTGGTAACTCCACATTACAGAATCAGCAGCACAGTTATTATTAAATATTCCCAAACTATTCATCACTGGACTGATTTCTAGTCTTTGATTATTTGAACTGATCTGCACGCTTGTTTAGGCTGATTTTAAATTTAGCTTGGGCTTCCTAAGCCCATGCCAGGTAACAGTAGGAAGGAGAAAGCCGAGGATTATATTGGGAGTCAGAAAGAAACTATTCTGGAGCTATGAATATGATCTCCAATGTGAATAATCTGTAAACAGGTAGTGAGCCAATTATCCTTGGGTGCATGGCAACACATCTCAGTAGTCATGATTATTTTCATCCATACACACTCACTATTTTTAAGAGCACAACCCAGCTGGAAAGAAAAATAATTTCAATAGCTTTCCAACACTTTTCGAAGTAATGAATAGTTGCCAAAGTATTCTTACTTCTAACTAATCCATTCACCAAGAATTTTTTTAAGCATCTATTATTGCATGCTTGGGACTTATAAGCAAAAGAAGTTCGATTTCCAGTCCTTGGTTTTAACCAGGTGTAATCTGTGAGTACAGAAAAAGAAGGTAAACTGTTCCAGACTAAACCGTCTTTGAAGACACTATCCCTCTACGAAAAAGCTTGTTGGGTTACAAATTTAAACAGTGGCCAAATTAAACAGATGATCACAAAATTCTATTTACTCTTATTCAGTAATTGTTTTAAGGGGAGGAGTCTTGATTTTGTCTAGTAATGTCAAATGAAGCATCAGAATACTGAATAACCATTTTTGAACAAGGTGCAGGTACTGCAGATTTGCAGGCAGCTTGCTTTCTGAGCTAACAATTATGAGGGTGTTTGCCAGTATATCAATGTGTGTACATACAACCCCATTTACATATCACCTGACAGATAAGGTTTTACAGAGTCCAAATTACAGTCTCCTCCTATTCTGCTGAAGTGCAGAGAACAGTCAAACATGATGCAAATGCTATAAAATAATTAGTTTACTTTCTCGTTGGTATGCCTACATACTTAAAAAGTATGTGTATTGGTACTCCAGTTAAAGTAATTAAGAAAGTTAACATAACTTGCTATATTCTTTTAAAGGGAAGAAACACAGAATACACAAGAGCAAGAATGAATGGATTCAAAGCAAAATAATACAAGCAATATAAAAGAAAATAATCTATTAACTGTTTTATACAATATAGACACTAAACATGCAATATTTAATATTTAAAAGCAGAGCAACCTAACAAAATACCACTAATAATGGAATATTAGTAAGAAAGATGGCCTAAATTATATTTATACGTTGGTCAATAAAGAGGAGATAATAGGTAAATAATGTAAACAGGGGAGATACTATAAATACTTCGGAGAGAGTAGGCCAAAGCTCAGGGTGCAATAAAAGAAAAACTACCATATACAGTGACAAAAAAAATAAATAAAACAAAAAAAAACACACTTTCTTTGAATGCTAGACGCATAAATGCTTCTGGGTTGGCAGCAGTGTCAATTATCATTAAAAACTTCTGCTAAATGACTCCCTCAAAACATGTCATATTAAAGAGCACCAAAGAAGGGGGGGCGGGAAGCGTTCCTCTTAGCCTGAAGCAAAACACCATAATCAGGAGAGCCTCTGTCCCCTTAAGTCTCAAACTCTGATTACACTACAATGAATTTTCTAAAAAGTAATTTTTAGGTAGGATACAATTTTTGCTTACATTATGGCAATTATCATTGCATTTTCATTACTCCACAAATTGGATGCATTAAAAGTTATAGAAAAATCAATGAAACATTTCTGCTAACATCAAACATGTCAAAGGAAATATAATGCTCATTGCTTTTTTATCTATAACATTTCTAAACATGTTTTAGCATATTAGTGATGGTAATGTATAATATAAATATTTATTGTACATTAACTTGAAAAGTTCAGATTTATAAGGATTATAAAATATATACAGTGATAAAAGACAAAAAATACATAAATTATGAAATAAGGGGTTTTAAAGAACTGTTTTCACAAATAACAATTATTTGCTAAATCACTTTTTAATTTTTATTGATTGATTTTAGATAAAGAGAGAAGAGAGAAGAGAGAAGAGAGAGAGAGAGAGAGAGAGAGAGAGAGAGAGAGATTGAGAGAGAGAGGAACCATTGACTTGTTGTTCCACTTATTTATCACTCGTTGGTTGATTCTTGTATGTTCCCTGACCAGGCATCAAACCTGCAACCTTGATACATGGGGACAACATGTTAACCAACTGAGAGACCCACCAGGAATATCTAAATCTTTTTATTGCTCCTATAATTTTAAGCACATATTAAAATTATAGGATATATAAGCATATATATATAAATTTATATATGCATTATATATGTATATATCCAATTACAACTCTTTCAGCCAACATTTAAAAATAGTCTCTAAAACTAGCACTCAGTATACTCATTATTATATCCTCTCTTAAAGAATTTTTGAATGAATATTTTATTAAACTGAATTTAATGAATCTAAAATGTGAACAGCATAATTTCAATTGCTCTCCAACCTCATTCTTAAGAAGAAAAAGGGCAGTCCTGTATGTAATGCCTTAAAACAGAAATTACTTCTCTATTGGTATTCTTAGATGATTTGTTATTTTCAATGCTTTTAACAAAATAAGGAGGGCCGCTTCTGATGACTGGGAGTATGACCTGTACTAAATCTGTTCTTTAAAGCAATTAAACTTCACACATATAAATCTCTCACAGAAGCCAACCATTCAAATTATTGAATTATTCTGAAAATACAAATCAACAGAAATAAAATTATCTCATCCCTAAAAATTATATTTTGTCTTGTGGCACTATGTCACTTTACATATGCAGGTATTTAAGCTCTCCGGAACCTAAACTATGTTATTACTTTCAAAACAACTATGATTTAAAGAATGAACATTCACTCCTACATTTACCTAGTTCTGTAAAATATGTTTATTGACTAACTTCTACGAGGAAACAAAGGGAGCCGGTATCACAATATGTTAGTCATCAAACCGCCATTGAAGTTAAGTGCCAAAGTAAAATCCACTTGACATTTCAGAATGGAAAAAAAAATAAAGGCACATTATACAAAAGGAATGTGAGTCCTTAAACTCTGTAATGACAACAAAAACAGGACTCACAGAAATATGTTCACTAGCATCTTAATAATCTCTTGAGGCTGACCTTTCCCAGGACTCCCAAAGCAACTGAGTAAGGTATATTGAAACACAGGGCCATCTACAGGCCTTTGATGTATAATCTCATGGCTGAAGAGGTTTTTTTTAACCTTTCTCTAATAAAAGACAATTCAGAAGCCCTGAAGCCAATTTAAAATATTTCTGATAAAGTACCACTTCTGTTTACCAAACCCTCTTAAAACGAAATTCAGAGAGAAAAATATTAACTTCCGCAGTTTCCAATCAGGTACATTTCTCATCCTTACTTTAGCATGACTTTATGCATTCAAAAACACACGTTCACATTTCAGGGCAAGAAAAAACGATTTTCTGTGAGTTGCAAAGTATCATCCAGGACCTCCAAGGTGTTGTGTAAAACTTACACTTTGGTAACTTATTTTATATCCTTACTTCCCATCTGTTTACCTCCTATATAACAGGTAGCTCGTTTTAACCACTGCAATGCTTAATCTGAGTAGGCCACAATCTAGTTACCAAACACATAAACTCACTAGTAGAAACTGGTAATCCCACATCCCCACCTCTGGGCCCGGGAGAGGGGCGAGGGATTTACTTACCAATTTAGCTTGGGGACTGGTGGCAGGGTCAGGACTAAATCAAGGCGTGATTTCAATTATTTTTACTTTCGAATATCAAGGTTACTAAAATACTTCCCTTTATTTGGATTGCCCCGAGCAACACAGAGTTTCCACAACCAAAGCTAATTTCCTTTTCTTTTTTTGAAGCATTATTATTTGTCTTTGCTTAACAGGTTTAATGAGGTGGTGCCCTAATACAAAGAGTGGACTGCTGCTGTCTAAATTACTAAATGCTCATTAAATTATATCCCAAAATAGAGCAGAGGTTGTTTATTGTGCAAAAGCAGGACACATTATCAGTCTACCAGCTACAGGCCTATATGATCTCTTTCCTGAATCAAAAACCTTTTAACTTACTATCACAGATTAAAGATCATGGCCAAAAAGATCCAAATGAAGAATCAATACATTCAGAATGGCTGCCTGCTGTCAGTCCCGTTTTTTGCTATTATGATGGCTGTAAAGTTTTAAAATGTGACAGTGGGGATAACTTTCCCAAATAAATCACTTCCCCTGAGTAAAACCCTTTAGAAAACCAGTCATGACTGGTAACTTAGGTTCTAAAGGGCAAGCACTTCCGCCTTGCAAGGGTTAATGCCTGCAAGGCCACTGGCACCAGAAGGAAAAGAAATGTTGCTTCAGTCAGCTCTGAAAGGTTTCTAACAAGTACCAAATACTTGTTGATCTGTTCACAATAAACACCAGCAGGACTGTGGGGCTCCTTTCAATGTCTGGGAGAGGCATTTACATACTGCATCCAGCGAGAACAGCTTGCTGGTCTCCTTTAGAAGAGTATGGATAAGACTCATTCAGTGTCTCCCATCCAAATGAAGGCGCAATTGAAATAGTGAAGTCTCTCTCTCGTCTGGCTTGGGCAGCACAAATACTGTGCATAAAAACACTTGGAATAGACCAGGCGCAAAACAAACCCACCTGAATGGAGGAGGAACACTGCCTGTTGCCATGGCAGCCTGATCTAATTACATGAGTGATGGGGTTGGAGTAAGTGCTCCGAAAACCTACACCACTGACCATATCTACAAGAGGAGAAAGACAGGCAGGCAGGAGGAGGTTCAGGGGAGACTTCAGCTTCTGCTTTATGTAGAAGGGGGCACTGAAGCCCAATTATCTGTGGAGCTGTTAAAATACTGACTGAAGCATGCATGGCTAGAGGGCAGTCGGAGGAGATTAAATGCCACAGCACTAGCCGTTATGGTGCAATCCTTTCCAGGAGTTCATGTGCAGAATTTTCTCATCCTCCTCTCTGGTGCTTCCCCCAGGCAGGCGTTTCATTCCACAAAAACAAAGCAAAAAAAAAAACCAAATCCCTAAACTCAAGTATCAAACTTCCTTCGCCCTCCCAATAAACCACAAGGTGGGCTTTAACAGTGGCTTCTAGGAACTGCAAGGCTCCTCAGAAATCCAAACAGAAATGGCTTAGCTAACAGCATTGAAAAGTAACTAGCTGAGCCTAAAAATAACCATCAAATAACTACCCTCTGCTGTGTGCGACGTGTAAGGACGATGTTTAAATATTAAGAACACCCTGCATTATAAAACGCAAATGTCATTGAGCTGTGACTACTAGGTTGCCAAAGGAGAACTTATTTGCATACACACATTCCCGTGCATACAGGACTGGATGTGCAAGGGAGTATGCCACTCCAAGGCATTAGTTTTGATTCTGTGGGTGCAATGGGGGTCTTAGGATTTTGCTAACTGTGTCCTGTGGCTCTCACGGGGAAGTTAAGAATCCCTTCGGGGGCAGAAGCAGTTTGGAGGAGTCCCTACTGCACAGCATACGGTAAACAAAATAAAAATAGCTTGCCGTTCCCCTTAGCCACATCGCGCATTATATAACCAGCTTCCGACTGGCTTTTTTTTTTTTTCCTTGCCCTTACTACTCTTCAGCAATTTCCCAGTCTTCCCAAGTATTTATATTACCCTCTTATCTGTAGGATTATATGCTAAAAGAAAGCAAAACAAAACAAGAGCCGCTGCAGGCTTGAGCCGAACTCCACAGTCCTTAGAAACTGATTTTTTGTTTGGTTGTTGTTGTTTTCTGGCAGGATCTCCACCACCACCCTACTCCCACCCCCAACCCAGGTCCTGGTTCGATCTCCCTAGAAAACCTGGATGGCTTCCCCCCTTCCAGCCAGCCCCCTACGAGGTCGGAAATAAAATGAAAGCACCGGGGCCGACGGCCTGAGGGCGGAGGGAGGCTGCGGAGGGGTCGGGCGCAGCAGAGTCCGCCAAGTGGCTCCCCGGGCCCCCTCCCCAGCGCCCCGGCCCCCAGGCTCCCCCACCGCCCGCGGGTACACACACACACATGCACGCACACATACACACACACACATACACACACACACACACGCACTCACACGCGCGGCCGCTCACACTCCCGCCGCGCTCCGCCGCCTCCTCACCTCTCGCTCCGCCCGGCGGCCCCTTCCCTGCCCCCCGCGGGGCCGGCCTGCGCCGCGCAACGAACGCGTAGGAGGCGGCGCGGCCGCGCGAGTTGCCGGGGCTCCCGCCGGCCCCGAGCGCGGAGTGGAGGGGCTCCCGGGTGCATCCCGGTCCCCGCAGCGCCTCCGCCGCCGCTCCCCTCCTCCCGTCTTCATTCACCCGCCCAGCAGCCGCGCCGCCGCTCAGTCCCGGCGCGGGCAGGGCAGTGCCCGCCGCTCCTCCGCTCCTGCCGCCGGCGCGGGCGGGGGCGCGGGCCGGGCTGGGCGCTCCCGGCTCCCGGCTCCGGGCGGCGCGGCGGCTGCTCGGGAGCAGGAAGCGGCCGCACCGGCCGGGCCGCCGGCGCCGCTCCGGCCGCGCACCCGGCCCCGCGCCCGGCGCCCAGCCCTCCGCGGCCCCGGCGGAGCTCCTGCTGCCGGCGCCGCCGACCCCGCCGGGTCCACAGCCGCGCGCCCGGCGATGCCGGCTCCCCGGAGACCCGCGTCCGGGGCACCGAGGCCGGGCGGCCACTGGCGGAGCAGCCCAGCCCTCCGTCAGCCCGCCAGCCCCCACCGCTCCCTTCGGGGAGAACGGTGGGGAGGGGTCGGCGGGAGGAGCGGGCAGCGCGACCCCGGCCGCCGCCGCCTCCTCCCTTTACCCCTCCTCCGGGGAGGAGGATATGACTCTCCGCATTCGCACCCGACCAGCGGCCGCCCGAGCGGGGTGCCGCCGCCGCCGCTCTCCGGCCTGCACCCCCAGCCCGGGCGCGCCCCCTCGCCCGGCAGGCGCCCACCTGCCCCCGCAGCCCCCTGCTGGCCGTCCCCGCGCCCGGAGCGGGCAGCCGGCCCGGGAGGCTGGAGCCGGGGAAGGTTGTGTGTACACACACACACACACACACACAAACAACACAACACGCTGCGTCGATTTCCTTCTTTCCTCTTCAAGCTGTTTTCCGAGCTGCCTTTCGGGGTTTGGGATTTGTTTGCTGGTTGTTGCTCTGGCCCCTCTCAGGAGGGCCGGGGTCGGGAGAGGTGGGAGGTGGGGGGGGGGGGAAAATCTTCATCTAAATCGGGGGAGGGAGAAGGGGATGGGGGAGGGGGAGAGACAGAATTAGAGGAGAGAGAGAGAGAAAAAATCGCCACTTACTGTAAAGTGTAAATGGATCTGGGGTGGCGTGGGGAAGGGGGGGCAGAGGGAGAGAAACAGTGTCTTGCTGCGGCGGTGGCTCTGGCGGCTGCTCCCAGGGGCTTGTTTTGGATCCCCCCGCAGTGAAACAGGTCCTGCACGGCTCCGGCTCCGCCACTGTAGTAGAAATGATGTCTGCGGTATACTCCGCTCTCTCCTCCTCCTCCTCCTCCCCCCACTCCCTCCCCTCCCTCCTCCCTCCTCCCTCCCTCGCGCTCTCTCGCGCTCGCTAGCTAGCTCGCTCGCTCGCTCCAGTATGTAAATGTGTAATAGAAGCCAAATATGGAGCAGTTGGCTGCCGCCGCCGCAGCTCCAGGATCCGACGGGAGGGCGGGGTGGGGGTGGGGGGGGCAGCCTCGGGCGGCAGCGGGGCCCGCGGCTGGAGCCCGGCGAGCGCAGGGCGAGCGGCGGCCCCGCGCCCTTAAACCCTTCGGAGCGCGCGGCCCGGCGCGGAGGCCCTCCGGGGGGCGGGCACGGTTCCCGGAGACTCATTAGGAACCGGGGGGCGGGAGCGCGAGGGGAGACGTGGCCGGAGGGGACCGTCCTTTCAGGTTTGGGAAAGGGGCGGGGAGCGGAGGCGATGAGGTAATCGCAGCGGTGACCGGTCGTCCTCGCGCGCCTCCCGGAGTCCTGGCACCTCGGGAGGAGGCAGCGCAGCGACAGCGGGGTGCAACTCAGGCACCCCGGAGAAATCTCCAGCGCGGAGGCAGCAGAGCGCCCCGGGAGGAGGGAAGGCAGCCACGCCGATCCCTACGTGCCCTTCGTCCCGGGCGTGCCGGGGAGAAGCTTACAGCCCGGGCAGACGGCGGTCCACGCGCACTTTCACCTCCTACGGGTTTAGCTTCGGCGATCCGGAACCCAGACCACCGCCCGGCTGTGGGGAGAGCCTTTGCGTGCAACTCTAGAAAGTTTTAAGGGTGCCCCGACTGCACACGCAGCCTCACCTTGACCGCCTGGGAAAGCTGGGGGCCTCCCTTACCTCCTTTCTCTTCCTGCAAGTCCGGAAACCTGCTGTGGGTATGGAACTACCTAGCTCTAGTCCTCCAGGAGGACCCCGTACTCATTAGCGCAGCTAATTCGCAATCATTGATTTAATCGGAAATGAGGTAGCCAGTGTAGGAGACGGAGAAAGCAAACCGAGCATCAGAGGGCAGTTCTGGGTGCATCCACGCTGAAGAACTTCCTCTGGGCTCGATTTGTAAGTGCAGTTCTCAACCCGCTGCCTCCCATGCCTGATCCTTCCACCGGTATTAGCTCCATGAGAAGGAATCTTCTTGGGTGGAGGTTGAGGGGGGTTCATCTTGCCCACAGGTGTGGCACTTGGAGCAAGAGAAGGCACATTCATGCTAAAAGGAGCTTCCTATGGCACCCCCCTTGCTGCAAATAATCCTGGAGGACCAGTAGGTGTCAGGCAGCATATGTCCTCCTTCAGGTGCTTCGAACCAAGTATCCAAAAAAGTTTCTCTAAAAGCCACCACTTTTGACTGTAAGCTTTTATTTGAGAAACCTTTTGGCTGAGTTTACTTATAAACTAGCGGTTAGTCACCAACCGAAGCAAGATATAGACTCACCAAGATAAATGTGTCAGCTTTTAAGCAACTGTATTGTAGAACCAATGTGCTATGGAAATAAAAATAAGCATGCTAACTAGGAAGGTGTAGAGCCCGGGCAATATTTTTTTTTTTCCTCACACTTTGAAATACCATATACATATACATGGCTACTTAAAAAGAACTACTACTACTGTTCACTCTTACTCGCTTTACATCTTTTTTTTTCATTTAAAAATAATTGCTATAGTTTAAACCCAGGGTTGGTCTAAAATGACATTGTTGGTCTCATTACAGCCTCTAGTGGACAGTTAAAATGAGTTTCCTGAAAAGGCTCTTCTGGTGGTGTGCTCCTTGACAAGCATTATCAAGGTGAAGGTTAATACCTCAGACATAACCATGTGATATCTCTTCCCCCCACTTTGCAGAGCCCGGCTTCTGAAAGGAGCTTTGTGCTGCAGGTATTATTATTACTGGCCTGTGAATAAACAGAGAGCTTCTTCTATTCATTTCAAATTCAGACAGTTTTCATAAAAACTGAACTCATCTAAAATATTTTTATAACAGAATATATTGGTTGCCGTATTTTGGCTTCACTGAGATGTTTTTATTCCAACTCCTAATATGCAGACTGTCCAATCCACCTCCACTCTATTTTTAGACATCTTATATTTAGAGAATTTCAGTAAAAAGCTAATATTTTAATTATTGCATTGGCACATGCAGTTAAGATATTTTTAAAACCTTAAACAAATTAAAACACATAATTCATATTAGAGTTAGTCAATTAATTTAAATATTCCCTTAAGGAAGCTAAATAGTTACATTACTCAAGCAGTAAGAATAATTAATTAGAAATGTGTCATTTACTTTCTTAGCCATTGAGATTAAAGCCATTAACTGCCATTAAAGTCTGTAACTATTATTTCCTAGAGAATCTAACCAACATCCTATCTAATAAAAGAGAAACATGCAAATTGAACATACCTCTGCTAAGCCTGCATGCCATGCCCACCAGCCAATCAGGAGTGGGTATGCAAATTAACCCAACCAATATGGTGGTTAATTTGCATATCCAGGTGCAGAACAAGACTGAAGACAGCATAGAAGGAAGCCAAGTGCTACACAAAGGAGCTAAGCTGTGGAGAAGCAAGAGAGACAGCGTAGACAGGAAAAAAGCAGGTGAGGCGGCAGAGAAGGAAGCCCTATTCTTGCAGGAATAGGCCTGAGAAAGCCTTATTCTTGCAGGAATCTTCCTGCAAAAGGCCTCTAGTCTTATACAATCATATATATATATATAATGCTAGGTGTCCAGTCATCAAATCATCTGTTCAACCAATCCAAACCTAAAGTGCTAATGATATAACAAGCCTGCTCAACCTCTTGCTATGACATGCACTAACCACCAGGGAACAGATGCTTCTACCAGTAGGTTAGCTTACTGCTGGGGTCTGGTGGATCAGGACTGAGTGAGATGGGCCAGACATGTCCTGGAGCCCTCTCACGGTCCCTCCTATGGTCCCTCCCTGGCTAGCCAACCTCTCGCTGGCCCCAGTAGAGCACCAGTGGGGTCCCTCAGCCTAGCCTGCATCCTCTCAAACTCTGGGACCCTTCAGGGGATGTTGGAGAAATGGTTTTGGCCTGATCCCACTCAGTGCAGGAGCTGTGCCCTGGTAGTCAGAGTGCTCCCACAGGGGGAGCGCCACTCAGCCGGAAGCTGGGCTCACAGCTGGCAAGCTCAGCGGGAGCCTCTCCCACATCCATGGCAGTGCTAAGGATATCCAACTAGCGGCCTAGGCCTGGTCTGTGACAGGGCTCTTGGACTGTGAGAGGGCTCAGGCCAGGCCGAGGGACCCTCTCTGAGTACACGAATTTCATGCACTCAGCCTCTAGTAAACATAACAATACTCATGATAAACTTTCATTACCTTTAGCACTGCAATGTTTTATTTTCAGATGGTATAATAGTAAAGTGTACAATCACACATAACTGGTATTGATTATTTAAAAGCACCACTCTCTCATGCAAATAAAAACTCAATGAAGGAAGAAGAGAGCTTTCTAAAAGTCAGTAGGCAAATATGTAGTACTGTGGTCTTATTCATAAACCTGACACTATATTTTACCAGCATAAGTCCAACTTTGAAATAAAGGAAACTGAGAAATAAGGCCTCTTGAGCCTTACTCCTAATTTATGTCCTGCATTGAATAAACATTTCATCCCTTATGTCTATGTATCTGTTTTGGTAGTATCCATTTTTGAAGGTTGAAAATGGCCTCTCAAGTACATATTATATCATCACATCTTGCTTCTGAAAGAGTCTTCAGTGGGAGCTTTTTAGACAACCAGAATGAGCGTTCCACCCCAGACCTACCAAACCAGAATCTGCCTTTTAGCCAGTCCCAGGGCGGTTCCTAAGTACATCAGCGTGAAGAATGCTGTCTGCACCACAAGGGCTCTGTCTGCACGAATTTGGCTACAGATGCAGAATTTAATTCCTCCATTCCTTTTTTTTATCCCCTCCCTCTTTTATTAATTTGTACTTTCTAATGAAAACTTGTTACATTTTATGCTTTGGTTAAATTGTACTGCATTTCAGAAGAGCTGTGATTTATGCACAAATCTGTACCGTCATTACCAAGAGAGCACTGAGGAACGTCTGGGGTCTTGAATGTGAAGATTTTCTTCACAGCAGCAGAGGGAGCACAAGAGTACTTAATAAAACAAGTGTACAGGCCTCCAAATCATAAGGGATATTAAATTGTAGTATATGTTTTCATTGGACTAGCTTATCAGGTTATAGCAACTAAAAATCAAACAGATTGGAAGTTCACGATAGATGTACTTATTTGGAGTTTTAGGCTTGAGTTCCTAAAAGAAAATGGACCTCAAAAGGCATGCTTGAAAAAGATGCCTTAACTTTTCTCTAATCAAAAATAAAATAACATGTCACAAAAGATGGAATTCAAGCCATTGTGCTGTATGCCTTAAACTTATAGAGTGATGTATGTCAATTATTTCTCAATAAAATCAGAAAGAAAAAAAAGAAAGGTGACTTTTAGAATAAAGCAACTCTAAGAGTAACTTCTACTAATTTTGAACTGTTGGGGGTCTCCTGGCCGTGTAGCTCAGTGGTTGAGTATTGATCCCATGAACCAGAGGATCATGGTTCAATTCCAGGTCAGGGCACATGCCTGGGTTGCGGGCTCGATCCCGAGTAGGGGGAGTATAGGAGGCATCGGATCAATGATTATCTCTCATCATTGATGTTTCTCTCCCTCTTCCTTCCTCTCTGAAGTCAATAAAAACATATACAAGCAATAATAAAAAAAAATGAAATGTTGGGGGTCAATTAACCCAACAGTATGTCTGACAAACTTATTTCATTGGGATTTAAAAGTGTTTTGGAAAGAATGAACTTCTCAGCATGTTTAATTTCACAGTAACTTTAGGCTTTTATTCTTAACGTTTGCAGTGGTGAGGATATATGTTTCAGTTATACCTACGTAGCATTTTACACTCTCACAACCTTCTGTGTTACATCTTCAAACACTCCTGTGAGGTGAATAAGACATAGGAAAGCCAAGCCTCAAAAAAGTTTTGGAACTCCTTTGTGC